CCCGCCCCGGGGTGGCGGGGACGCTGTTTTGGGGGACCCTGCGAGGTTGCCCTGCCCCGAGCTGCGCCGGATCAACGCTCGGCCTGGTTTTGGTGACGTTTTAGTTTAGTTTAGTTTTTTGTTGTTTTTTTTTAAAGGAAAAATAATAAATATTCTATATTCAATTTCGAAATTATTGAAAAATAAACATACAGGGTGTCCCCCAAAAATGTACACACGCACTTTGCATGGCTATAAAGGCAGTTGCCTATTGAAATACATTTTGTTTTCATTTAACAGCCCCTCCTCGGCTTCAACCGGGTGTGGATGCAAAGATGTGGGGCCAGGGCTGCCCGAAATGATTTTCAAGAGAGGCTGGAAATCTGGATTTTTAATGCAAAAATTGTTTCCCAATTTTTAAGCAGGGGCTACTAAGTTTTAAACATTAGAGAGATGCATTCTATCTAACCCCTGGGTAGAAGTTGTGGAGCCGAAGGGGAGAGATATTAATGTAGGTGGGATTCTTTTTTTCTCTTTCATTTTGTCCATGTTAATGCAGATGACTGCTCTCGCACAAGATGCATATGCAAGAACCCTGGGTGTTACATAGTAACCGTGTGTACTGTAGCATTTTCACACTCTGATTTCTTGCAACAAAATAACTCTTTTTCCATGTGGAATGATACTTTTCATGCCTACTCCCTGTAATCGATCTTAATACCGATTTTTTTTCCCCCCCAGAACTTTTGTTATCTGTAGTGAGGAATTTTTTTTCTCTTATTTTTACTCTAGTTTGTTATAAGACCTCATTATGAGTGACCAAATCAAATTCATTGTGGACAATCTCAATAAGGAGCCTTTTAGGAAGAACTATAATTTAATCACATTTGATTCCCTGGAGCCAATGCAACTATTACAAGTTCTCAATGATGTTCTGGCTGAGATTGACCCAAAGGTAAGAGTTCTCTCTTCCCCTGTGGTGAAAAGGGTGGTAGGAAAGTCAGTTTCTGCCTCTCAGTACCCGTCTTGGGCACATTACTTAACCTCTCTGGACTTTATTTTCCAGAGGCCTTATTTTACAGACCTTATGCTTGTAAAGTAATGGCAAATGATCTGTAAGTTTTCCCTATTAGCTCAAAAATTAAATTGTCTACTTGTATCTTATTTAGGAAATATTTCTCTACTTCCAAACATAAGTAGACTTGGTCCAGGAATAAAAACGCTTTTACAAAAGGTTTTATTGTGTTGCAAGTTAGCTCATGTCTCTGCACTGGAGACTTTTTTTTAGGCTTGACATTCTTAATGTGAATCCTGACCTGACTTGTGTGCACCCTGACTTGGAACCTGGCAACCTCCATACTTAGTCTGTTCTATTAAGAGACCATTGTGTCTGTGGCGCTCTAGCAGAACAATTTCATAAGTGAGTTTCAGTATTGTTCTTTGTTAGATTTACAACAATAACATTTTTTTTTTTTTCTATTTCTTTATTTGTTAGCAAGTTGTTGATATCAGAGAGGAGATGCCAGAGCATACAGCCAAACGGATGTTGAGCCTTCTTGGTATCCTCAAGTACAAGCCTCCAGGAAATGCCACAGACATGTAAGAATCTGATTGTGTGTTGCTTTAAAAAAAAAATTAAAAAAAAAAAAATGTTTTATTGATTTTTTTTAGAGAGAGAGAAGGGAGAGGGAGAGATACACACACATCCATGTGGTAGTGAAACATCAACTGGTTGCCCCAGGACCCACCCCACCTGGGGACTGAGCCTGCAACCTGTGCATGTGCCCTGACGGGAATCGAACTGATGACTTTTCAGTGCACTTGATGACCTCAACCAACTGAGCCATACTGGCCAGGGCCCTAGTTTTATTTTTATTGTTAATGTGCAGACTGACATTAGAATAGCCTTGGTTTTTTTCTTTTTTTAATTGTCCTGGAAAGCAATCAGGACATTGTCAATCAGATTTTGAGTAAATGTTATAACTTTTCAAGGTTTACTTCTAATCCTGTGTGTGTGTGTGTTCTTTTTATAGGAGTACCTTTCGGCAGGGTCTGGTGATTGGAAGTAAACCTGTAATTTACCCCGTGCTCCACTGGCTGCTTCAGAGGACTAATGAACTGAAGAAAAGGGCATATTTAGCTCGTTTCTTAATAAAATTGGAGGTACCAAGTGAGTTTCTTCAGGATGAAACTGTGGCTGATACCAATAAACAGGTATTCGATCCATAAATAGTGTTTTAAAACTATCTGTAATGGGTTTCAAGGTGCACCGGTTCAAGCATGTATTCACCCCTGGGTTACTTGCTGTCTCTGTGTTTTCAGGTGACACCAAAAGGGAAAACAGTTCTCAGTTAGTGTTCAACTGCGACCATGTATTAAAATAGGGACATTTCCACCCAGATATCAATTCAGTGATAGGGGTGTGTGGATAGGAAAAGAAAACCCTGAAGTTAATGATTTTAGCATAACTTATTATGTAAGAGTTGTGGGTAGGTTGGGTCCTGGGCTTGGGACGGCAGGGCGCTGTGCTAGTCAGGTAGGTGACTATACAATTTGTCACCCAGTCAGAGAGAAAGGGCCTGTCGTCATCATCACACTGACCAGGAAGAGCCCACTGGGTCCAGTGGTTAGCTCATAACTTTTTAACTTGTTCTTTTAGTATGAAGAGTTGATGGAGGCCTTTAAAACACTGCATAAGGACTGTGAGCAGCTTAAGTCCTCTGGATTTTCTACAGCAGAAATCAGAAGGGTAAAGAAAAGGAACTATAACCGTATTTTTTATTTGAATAATGTTAGGTGCACTATTTTTGTCTTTAGTTAATTTGGTATGAGTCTTAAGACTGAATGGAAACCAGTGATGGCAAAAGGCAGGTTTTCTCTAGATGGACCCCAAGCTGCCAAATAAATTACTGGGGGGGTGGGGGGTAGAAATGTCCTCCCCCCCCCCCAGGGTCCTTGTTCCTTCACGCTCCGGCTGTAAGTGATACATCAACAGACGCACGATCCTATGAAAACCTGCCCTGAGCCCGCCGAGAATGCTTTTTGTTCCAGCGCCTCCCTGACTGCCCTTTAGGATATCAGCGCCATGGAGGGGGAGAAGGAGCAGCTCGCGAAGAGAGTGGAGCGGCTGAAGAAGCGGGTAAGGCCGGGATTAGCACCGCGGGCTCCGGCCGGGTGTCAGGCACTCGCCGGGACTGAGGAATGCAAACGGAGACTAGGCCGGGTGGGTGCCCCGAGGAGGGCCTCGAATAGCACTGGCCCGCTGGCCGACAGGGACTCTCCCGGGCACCCGCCCAGCGCCTTCCAGGACCTGGATCCGGAGCCTCGCTGTGTCTCTAGGGAGCACTGTTGACCGAGCGGGGAGGATAAGGGGGCTCAGCCGCGGGACGGCCCGTCGCTCTCCCGACGCTGACGGCCGCCCGCGCCGCTCCCCCTCCAGGTGGAGACGGTCCCGAGTCACCAGCGGATGCTCCAAACAGCGAGGCAGCTGCGAGTGGAAAAGGAGCGGGAAGGCTTTCTCGCGCAGCAGAAGCAGGAGCAGAAGAACCAGGTGCCCGCGCCACAGTTTGCGTTCCTCGGACGAGCGCAGCGGCTCCTCACGAGGCCGCCGACGCCGAGACGCTCGCGTT